TCTCTCTCTCTCTCTCTCTCTCTCTCTCTCTCTCTCTTGCCGGGATAATTGACTCGAGTGATTTTCGTTGTTGTTGCGAGAGCAACGGCGCCTCGTCTGCGTCGTTCCGTGTCGATCGTCGATCGAACATCTAATGCACGGTGCCAGAAACGAGGTTACGCGCGATTTTCGGGCCAATCTACACCGGGGCACCAGACGATCTGGCTGCCTGGAAATTGATCGGCTAACAAGTCGCCAAGACTCGGTATACGCGATATTCTCTCTGCGCGACGTTCGATTAGTTATAGCGTTGGAAAATACAGGGTGTCCTAGTTCTCATGGCACGGGAATGGGAAGGAGGGTGATCCTGTGTGGAGAGGAATGCGCCAAAAATGAAAAGTAAAAACTTTCTCATAGCGAAGATTTGCTTCTTTTCTTTCTTTTTTTTTTTTTTTTTTTTTTCGAGAAAATCGACTTTCCAACGTATATCCGGTGTACTCGAATTGAAATGGGAGTCGTCGAATATGTAAAAGAACGAGTCAAGAATGTCGATAAAATTTTCTCGCGCGAAGAGGAAATCGCGTTTGAAATATTTCTCACAGTGTACTTGAATTAAATTAATCGCGCACTGGACGGAAGCGAATAATCGATAAGTGGAAAATGTAGAATTAGATTTTCTCGTATGAAGTTCCGTTTCTCTTTTTTTCTTTTAACGAAATCGACTTTGAATATCTTTGAATTTCTTCAGTGAACTTGAATTAAATGAATATCGGATTGGAGAAAGATTTAGAAGATATTTGCATATTGTCTTAAAAACGAAGCCTTAAGTTTGAAAATTCTATTCTACGTCATTCGTTTTTTTTTTTTTTTTTCTATTCAGTCCGAAAATTACCAAATTTAAATATTTAACAAACTTCCAACCTCGATCTTCTCCTTTACACGTTGACTGGCAGTGTGAAATTTATGTAATCTTTACAAAGTATTTATAAATTTTTCATTTCGTTCATTCGCGTTATTTAAATTAATTGTTTGTATCGCTGTTTAAAATATGTTTCACACTAATAAATTACCGATGACCACGTGTTGACAAAAAAAATGTTATCTTTTCTTTTTAAGATTATTTCTTCGCATAGAATCAATCGCTTCCCGAATGTTAGCCACCGACACAGCCTGTGCTCCATGATCTCTTTTTTCGTTCGGCGATCCCTCATGGTTGTTTGATGAGTTCGAAACGGACGAAATGTTATTGGAGAAACGATGCATCTCCGACGGGGCAGAGAGAGAGAGAGAGAGCAGTCTTTCCTATATAAAATGATCGCGATCGTTTAACAAGCCTCTTTCAAGTTACTTACTGTTGAAAGTTGTTCGCGAAAGTGTTGAAAGTTGAGGCGGATGATGGAAATGCATCGTTTTACAATACCCTTCGATTTTTATGTCTCTCCGTCGCGAAAGTTTTCGATTAACGAGTGCTTCTATTCTTCCGAATGGATTGTGTACCACCAATCTTAATCGGACTCTCGCGGCGATATCGGCGATGCCGTGAAAGACGAAATGCACGGGTATTATTCAGTGTTATCGAAAATCGTCTAATAGCGTCGATTATCATTTTATATTCGTCGTTTTGCGAAGGCATAATATCGAACACCGTTGGGTCGCATTGTTCGTAGAAACGTGTTACAGTGATTCGTTCTGTGCAACGAATAATTTCTGTGAACGACGGCAAATTCATGGTGGATACACTTAGTAGAAGAGTGGAAAATGTAAAATGAAAATATACAGTTTGGTGAGCAAGTGTAAAATTATCTGTGGACAATATCGTTTGAAAAATTAATATTTTCATAAATGGCAATTGTTTCCCCCCCCCCGAAGGTATTATTATATTAAATTGCACGAGTCCAATTAAAATTACGTATAAAGTTCTGTAAAATCATAAAATAAAATTGTCCAGAATTTAGAGACTAAAGATATTGTTCATTTGGAGTTTAAAACTTAACGAAACATAGAGAAATAATGTAAATTGAATTAATTCGTTGCAGAACTCTAAAATCTGCCAAACATAAAAATATTTTAAATACCTATTTACATATATATAATTAACATTTTAAATATTTAAATATCATACTAGTGAATAATCATGCACAGTAATTGAAATATGTTTAATTGTTATATAATTGAATAATAAATATCTAACGTAATTCGAATTTCGAGACCAATTTTCTTGAATTTTTCGCGCCAGTTTCATGTCGTTCGTACAGCAGAACTTTCAAAAATCGCGGGCGGATTCGAACGCGACATGCGCATGCGCACTGGCGAGCCGCGTTACGTAGCACCTCTGGTGGACAATTTCAGTTCGTTTTAAATGGCGGATTCGGGCGCGCGTCTTTAATCTGTACGCGTACAAAAAACGAAGAATTACATTGCAATTATAAACGTGTTACAATTACAAACACGCGATATGTTTTTAGTATAACATGTGACGTGTAATGTGAATATGCAAGGAAGGCCATCATGCTTGTTATTGAACACGAAACAGTGATTCAAAAAAATATTTCGACGGTGTAAACTAACCAAACACTCGAAGCGTGATTAAGAATTTCATTCTCGACGACTTGATGTGTTAATACATCATCTGGTAACTATCCTACTCTCACGATATAAAGGTCTTACACCTAAAAGATATCTATAGCAATTCATACTTGCATTGACGAGTATCACGAACCTACACACCGTCAATTTCCACTCTGTAGAAACGATGCACGAACACAAAGGAAGAAACCTGCGAAAAGCACGCTACGTTATAAGAGAGGATTAGAATGTGGGCACTGCCGTGCTCGGTCGAGTAATTTCGAATCGATTCCCAAGCATCGAGATATTTCAATAATAATCGTAACATTGCCGACGGTTATCGCTCGCGTTTCATGTTATTCCACATTCGTCGGTGGCTCGACGAGGACGAAGGACACGAACGATAAACAGTGTCGCGCAGTCGAACACGAGCCGCTGTTCTATGTGGATAGACGCGTAAAGTTCGCGAGCGGATCGCGATGGCTGGCCGGTGTTGTGATCGCGAACTGGCAGGAAATGAAGCCAGAGATAATAGAAGCGTCGATCGTTTTCGCTTCTAGTCTTCTAGCGAGAGGAAAGAAGTAAAAATTAATCGCTGCGTCCATTGTGCGTTAATTGCGAGTGTGTTGTTGTTGAGTGCGGCACGTCGGACAGGAAGATGGCGGTGGTACCGGCGGGTAAGAATAAATTGAAAATGGGCAACGCGGGCCGATACTACAGCGCCTATCTCATCTACGACGCGGCGAACTCCTGCCTGGCCACGTTGCACGCCAAGATGCCTCCTCCTCCGGTTGTCGGCACGCGAACCAACCCTCCGTCTCCTATGCACGTCCAGAACCCCCGTAAGTTTTCTTCGCTTTCTCTGTTTTCTATTTTTCACCCGCTCTGCACCCGACGGTGGTTGTTCCGTTAGCGGGAGCGAGGAGCAAGCTACCTCGCTCGCTGCGTCCGCTTGACGCGTCTGCGTTTCAACGCCTGGCAGGATTTTACCATTGTGCCGTAATTATCGCAGGAAGTAGCAATAACGAGGGAACGATAGACGGGCTATTTTCCAGATAGAGAACGGATTTCGTTTCTTTTCGTTTCGTTTCGTTTCGTTTCGTGTTATGACAGCTGTACGAGCTTTTGCTTTTCGTATTTGACAGAGAAACAGGCTGCGAGAATTAGAAAGCCTATTATAGGGTTCAGACGATAGCTTATTTGTTAATAATAATTTCTTAATACGTGACAGGATTTGCGTTATTGAGACAAGTTACAGTAGAAATAATACGTTGCTTGTAATAACAAGGACAGGAAAAAAATTAAAGTTGATGGAATACTGAATAATAATTTTCAGTATAATAATTGATCGTAGAATGCTAAACAGACGTAAATACAATATTCTGTTGTATAATAATAATATATTCAATATAGTATTTAAAAAATATTGAAATCAATTTATATTCTATAATAATATATTCAATATATTATTATTATCTTTTGTATAATAACATTATATTATTATATAGCAAAAGTAGTATTGAATATAAGTTATCTTTATTTCTGTTGCATAATAATAATATTCTGTTGTATAATAATAATATATTCAATATATAGTATTAAATATAATATATTCAATATAGTATTTAAAAAATACTGAAATCAATTTATAGACTATAATAATATATTCAATATATTATTATTATCTGTTATGTAATAACATTATATTATTATACAGTAAAAGTAATATTAAATATAATATATCTATATAATAGTACTGAATATTATCTTTATTTCTGTTGCATAATAATAATATATTCAATATATAGTGTTAAATATTCAATATAGTATTTAAAAATATATTCAATATATAGTGTTAAATATTCAATATAGTATTTAAAAAATGCTGAAATCAATTTTTATTCTATAATAATATATTCAATGTATTATTATTATCTTTTGTATAATAACATTATATTATTATATAGCAAAAGTAGTATTGAATATAAGTTATCTTTATTTCTGTTGCATAATAATAATATTCTGTTGTATAATAATAATATATTCAATATATAGTATTAAATATAATATATTCAATATAGTATTTAAAAAATACTGAAATCAATTTATAGAATACTATAATAATATATTCAATATACTATTATTATCTGTTGTATAATAACATTATATTATTATACAATAAAAGTAGTGTTGAATATAAGTTATCTTTATTTCTGTTGTATAATAATAATATATTCAATATATATTATTAAATATATTCAATATGGTATTTAAAAAATACTGAAATTAATTTATAGACAATATATTATTATACAATAATATTATTATAATACAATATTGAATATATTATATCATATTCAATATATT